TATATATATATATATATGTATGTTCATTGATATTTTTAGGAAAAGCTTGTTTCAAACTAAACCATTCAAGCCAAATATGTACGTTCTTTACTTATGGCTCTAGAGCCAGTAATTAGGAACTACCTTAAACTACTTCAACAAAAATAATTATTTAAGACATGTTACACTGAGTTAGAAAAGAAGTATGTAATGTTAAATTATTTGGACTAATGAAACCCGTATGCTTCTCTTTAATACCATTTTTATATTAAATCTATTATGTATGGATATTCATCCATATATAAAAGAGTCCATACACATATGTATGTACATATCCATTAATACCTGCACACATGCAAACATGGTTACTCACACACTTAGATAAATACATACCTACATATTTATTTAACGAGCTTGAATGATAAGCTATGTACATGCATTTCAATTAGAGCTCTAAAAAGATAGCAACAATTGGACATTGCATTACGTTCTATTACGTACTATAGTAAATACGCAAAATTTTCAATTTCTTTTTTTCAACTTTAGGCTGAGGCCTCATTCTGGACTGTGGAAGAGGTGGATCTCTCTAAAGACTTGACCGACTGGGCACGTTTAACTGATAACGAGCGTCACTTTATCTCCCATGTGCTCGCCTTCTTTGCCGCCTCCGATGGCATTGTTAATGAGAATCTTGTCGAGCGCTTCAGCCAGGAGGTGCAAATAACCGAAGCTCGTTGTTTCTATGGCTTTCAAATCGCCATGGAGAATGTGCACTCGGAGATGTACAGCGTGCTGATCGATACATATATTAGGGATCCACAGGAACGGGATTATCTGTTCAATGCCATTGAAACAATGCCCGCTGTCAAGCGAAAGGCCGATTGGGCGCTCTCTTGGATTTCATCGAAGGCGGCGAACTTTGGCGAGAGAATCATTGCGTTCGCTGCCGTGGAGGGAATCTTCTTTAGTGGCAGCTTTGCCTCGATCTTTTGGCTGAAGAAACGTGGTCTGATGCCCGGTCTGACCTTCTCCAATGAGTTGATCTCACGCGACGAGGGCTTGCATTGTGACTTTGCTGTGATGATGTTCCGGCATTTGGTGCAACGTCCTAGCCGTGAGCGCATCATTGAGATCATCTCTGATGCTGTTACCATTGAGCAAGAGTTTCTCACAGATGCTCTGCCCGTCAAATTGATTGGCATGAATTGTGCATTGATGTCCGAGTATATTGAATTTGTTGCGGATCGTCTGTTGGTGGAACTCGGTGTTGGCAAAATCTACAATACGAAGAATCCATTCACCTTTATGGAGATGATCTCGCTGGATGGCAAGACTAACTTCTTCGAGAAAAAAGTTGGCGAATATCAACGTATGGGCGTCACATCGAATCGGCTAGACAATGTCTTTACACTTGATGCGGATTTCTAAAATTACACTTCGCAATCCTCACAGCTGCTGGTTCCGGGTGTTATTTTTAGCCAATATATGTTTTAATAATTAACCACATTTTCTTAGCATCTAAGCCTATATTTAAACATAACTACATGCGGACACATAACTTAGCAAATCATTGTCATTCCTCTTCCAAAAAATCGCTAATTATTGAATTACCTGACAACTAAAGAGCATTGTATTTTATCTGACCTTTGTCAAATTATCATTGTACATAACATATTAAATAAAAATTTATAGTATTTACGTATATAATTAGTTCTCATTTAAGAAATACGCGGGAAATTCAAAAAGTTATTGACTTTACAAACAGTTGTTTGATATGCGTTACAACAGGTATGAAGGACTTGCAAGGGCATTGTGGTGACCACATACTCATATATATGCATATATGACTATATAGTGTGAATATATATGTGGAAAATTTACGTTCATGTAAAAGCAACGATAAGTTTAATCACTTCCAATTGTCGGTAATTGTTCCCATTCGATATCGATAGCTATCGATAGCGCTTACAAACAGCTGGCGCTAAGTTACTTGCAGATGCACAGCCACATACAAATCATGCTCGCATATCTAACATAAGTGTTATCTGAAATCAAGAAAATGATAGTGTAAAAACATAATTCGTGAATATGAAAATGTACAGTCTGATCCACTTATTGATTAATTTCCTGTGATATTTATTTGTAAAGACGATCAATATATTGTATGCAGAATGAGTGTTAGGCACACAGCTTGGCGCAGTTCGGAGTGCATCATATAATTGCAATCACCAGAAGCAATGGGCTATGCAACACGTGACGACGTTGAGCTGGCGGAACAGTGCACGCTGCTCGACGATCAGGCTGATGACGAAACGCATTTAAGTCAGGTAGCAAGTCGTGATCCAAGAAAACTGCATCATCGACGCCAACGTTTGAGAATTTCATCGCCAAGGTTTTTACGCAGAATTTGCCATTTCGTGCTGTTGATATTCGTATTTCTGTTCTTTCGGTACATAATCCTGCCCAACATTTCAATATATGAACAAAAAAGACATGGTGAGTCGCCATTGAAGCATATGAGATCATTTTGTATTAACCGTAATTGTTTTGCAGTTCCGCTTGCAGATTGGTCGGCGAATACCTCGCTGGACATCAAGGACTACATACAGGCACAGCAGGAGAGCGCACTCATAATACCCCGTGACTTTTGTCGTAATAAAACGTTTCTGATTATTGCCGTCTGTACCGGCTTAAACAATTTCGTGGAACGACAAACAATACGAGAAACCTGGGGAAATACAACAGAATTCAATTACCCGGCTTTTGCCAAGCTGCACGCACACCTGAAAGGCCCTTATCAGCCGCCAATGGAAAAACGTTTGCAGTTCTATGCGGACTATCTGAAAGGCGAGGGCGAAAACCTAACGGCAAGTGTACGCATTATATTCATAGTCGGTCGCCAAAGCTATGAATCACACTTGGGCAATGAAACCCTGGTGCGATTGCACAGCGAAGCGGAGCTCTACAATGATATTATTCAAGAGGACTTCATTGATACGTACAATAACCTCACTTTGAAATCTGTGATGGCACTGAAGCACATTAGCAAAAGTTGTTTGAAGACTTGCGCTTACTTTCTTAAATGCGATGATGATACGTTCGTCAACGTACCCAATCTATTGCATTTTCTACTCGGCGGCACAGTGCCGCTCTATAACGACACGCTCGACTATCATGATCGTGGCTCGATGGTGGTGATGGCTCAGCGCAATAGATTGAATGCCACAAGTAACGTCATGATAGGGCATCAGTTTTGTAATGTGGTGCCCGTCAGCGATGTCAGCAGCAAGTGGTATATCCCATACTATATGTATCAGGACGAAGTATATCCCAAGTATCTATCTGGTGCCGGTTATCTAATGTCCATAGATGTGGTCGAACGTCTATTTGAGGCCTCTCTAAATACATCATTAATTTACCTTGAAGATATTTATATAACTGGACTTTGCGCCAATCGCGCGAATATCAAGCGAAAACATCAGCCTCTCTTTAGCTTCACGAGCTCTCCACATTTGTGCGCCTTCAAGGGCAGCATCACCCAGCATCAGGTCAAGGAAGCGAGCATGGTCGAAGCATATCGGTTTGTAACTAATTATACCAAAATATGTCCGCCACCGGGACGTTACTTAAATCATATGCGATTAAGGAATCGAAATAATTGTTAGATAAGAAAAGAAGCGCTGTGAATATGCCTCTTTCCCCCTTTCTGTCTTCATATAGAAAAGAAGAAGCACAATTTTGACTTTCTTTGTATAAATACGAGTTAAACGAGATTATCCATGAGATATACTGTGTTTACACAGAATACTATTCTTGAAAACAATTGCGCACAGACATAATATATAACATATATATCCAAAATAGTCCCTTTTTTGTTCCTGAGATTATATTTCGCATCGATTTGAAGTGCTGTTTATCTTTAGAAAATAGTTCTATATATGTATATGTATCAGAGTTTTTATAGCTGTAAAAACTTTAAATAGTTCAGTTGCTCATTCTTTATCAATCAAGAATAGTATAAATGCCGAAATACTTGCAAATAGCTCTTTTGGCTGTAACACGAGGGTAGTTTACAAAATTGCCAAAAGCTTAGTATTATTTTAATAAATTTGGAATGTAAACATGTAGAAAAATAAGCAAATATCGCACACATAGATATATTCTATCCGCGTGCTTAATATAATTGGAGTACACGTGGGTAGTTTGATATATTGTTGAAGATTTAGAAAATTAATCGAAAATTGAGATATAAATATGAAATATGTAAATTAAGATTATATTATAGAAATTTTGTTGACTGTACAAGTTTTGAGCTACTCTCGTGTGACATAGGTTACAGTTTTGGAACACGAGGGCAGCTGGAAAAATTGCCAAACGCTTTATAAAAGATTTATATTTTATTATTTCTACACACAAAGTATATTAACTACCCTCGTACATATAATTTAAGTATTTGCTCAACGCTCAGATTTGTTTGTTTTTGTTCAATTTAGCGCAAAATATACAATAATACAAAATAATATTCAAAAAGCTAATTTTATTTATTGGAACAACTCGTAATTTAAGCATTTAGGCATATTTCTCAATTTGATTTGAATTTAATAATAAAAAACTTTTTTTGTATATACAATTACTTTTTATTACTAAAGTAGTTGATATATTGTTAAATTGGTAAGTTTTTACTTACGGGCTTCATGTTTTGTGAAAACTAAAACAAAAACAAGTATCATGTTTGTAAAACTAAATACCTTAAGGCTAGACTTAGCGTTCTTGTTTGATTTTGCTTAAAATTGTTTACAGATAATTCTTATGTTATACAATCCTATAATAACAAACTAGATTCGAGCCTACGATTGAAATTAAAATTAAATAATTAATTTTAGCATTTCTATGTTTTAAGCATCTGGCAGATTTGTGTTTAGTCTAAGCTAGCGCTGCAATCATATTGCAGCTCTAAGGGTGGGGCCAGCTGATCCTCCTCGTCTGTTATCTCAATGCTTTCCTTGGCTGGACTGCTGCTCGCAGGAATCTCTGCAGCTTCCTGCTCTGTTGCAGCTGCCGCTGGCTGTGAGCTGCTCCTGGTGGCTGCATTAAAATCCGTTTCCTCGTTTTCGATAGCTTTTGTATCTGTATTGTCTTTGTCTGTCTGAGCTTCAGTCTTATCAGCAGCTTCCTCTGAAGCTTGCTTCGCCAGCTCCGTTTCAGAGTCCTTGTGTTCATCTTTCTGTTCAGTTGCATCTTCATTTTCTTGTGTCGTTGTAGTAGGTGCTGCATCATCATTCTTCTCTGTGTTTATATCTTCTTTTGTTTGCTTATCCAGCTCTATTTCGGAAGCTACTCTATCCTCTTTCTGCTCATCTTCAACATTATCTGTATTCTCCTTGTCAAGCTCTTTATGAGAAAGTGCCTCTTCAGCTGTCTCATCTTTCGCATCATCATCTGCAGGAGCTGCTTGAGCAACATCCTTTGATGCTTCACCGGTTATTGCAGTTACAGGTTCCGCTCCCTCTTTTTGTTCATTCCCTTCTTGCTTGGCTTCCTTCTGTTCTTCATTATTTTCACTGCCTTCTTCATGTAGCGCAGTTTCTGTATCTTCTTCCATAGCTTCAGCTGCTTCCACATTTTGATTTTTTATTGTTTCTGTTTCACTTTCTTCCACATCAGTTAGATTTTCATTATCTATACTGACTTTATCTTTTTCATTTTTCCTTCTATCTACATCTTCTTCGTTCTTTTCTGCTTCATCTGTTTGAGATTTAGTTACGTCGCTTGTGTCCATTGGCTCAAGCAGCTCCTCTTCGCCAAGTTTCTCCGGCGAATCCCCTTCTCCAAGTTGCTTCTGCTCCTTATCTGTATTCTCTTCACTAGCTTTATCCTCATTTGTATCACTTGCCACAGCTCTTTCCTTGTGACTTCCAGCTTCCTCCATCGTCTGCTCGTCAGCATTCACCTCACTCTTTTTCTGACCATGTTTCTCCACCCATTTGCGTGCTACCTCAAACTGTTCCTCGGCACGAACCAGTCTGACAATTGGCTTCATTTTGAGCTTCGAATCATTTCGCTTCATCTCATCCATACGCTGGCGCTCCAGCTGTAGCAGGGCAGGATTTGGTTTGTGCGTCGTCTTCTTGCGCGGTTGCTTCTTCTGTAGAGTGCCACCGGGTGAGGTGGCTTGATTGGTCTTGACTTCGCCGGCGCCCTCGGTAATGTCCACTTCCAGTAGACTGGCCAGAATCGATGAGCTAATGGCCGCCACATCAATATCCTCATTTGGATCAATGTTTGCAGTAACCGGGTCCATTTTACTCATCTCTGCTTCAGGTGCTGTTGATTTAACGGATGTGATCTTCAGGCCCTTGGGCAGGTTGACCTTCGGCACGGAAGGCGTTTCCTCCTCATTATCCGAATCAATGGTAATCGTGTCCGTCTTTGGCTCCACAATCTCGATTTCATTGTCCTCATCGTCGCTGGCTTGTTTCTCTGCAAAGAGTTCGTGAATTGATTAATAATCTTAWATTTCATATATAATATAAATATTTGTTGATAGGATTAAATATAGTCTCTACAGTATGACATTTAAAAAAGACTTTTAATAAGTATATAATAGTTATATATAATCTTAGAATGTTCGGAAGTTTTGCATAAATTAACTTAGTCTAGTTAGTTAGTCTAAAAAATTCGTAGCTTAGGTATTAAGAAACCGCATTTCCTCGAGCGGAAAGTTTGTGCGCAGCTTTTGCAGCGTCTTCTCGTTGGGTCTAGGCTGCCGCTCCAGCTCTCGGCAATAGCACTCGTAGGCGAACTTTGCCATTTGCCAGCGCAGTTTGCAGGCGCGCGCATCACGCTTAAAGCGTGGCAAACGCCGCGCCAACTCCGCCCACAGGCGCTCGCGTGCACCCACGTCGTTATAATCGACATGTCGTGGATTCCATAATGTGGGGTAGGCACGCATAGCCAGCACCAGCTGCTGCACAAACTGTTTATCGTCCGGCATGTCCTTTAGCTTGCCAGCAGTATCAGCGGAGCTGCTGCCCTTCGTTGCACAATCCTGCAGCGGCTCGAATTCATCTCTCAAATCCTGTTCATCGATTTTATACAAGAAATATAAATTGGCTAAGTATTTGGAGTATTTCAGTTCCAGCCTGGCAAAGGTGCGTTTGTCCTTGATGGTTTTTAAGCGGAAGGACTTGTACATTTCATACATCTGTTGCCAACGCTCCACAATGTATTCACAGCGGTAGTCTGCAAAGAGAAGCAGTTAGACAATTTCTGCAGCAACTACCACACCTGGAGCACTTACTTGGCGCAGATTTCCAGAAGTTGAGCCATAGAGATTTGCGTGTTTGTTCGTCTATGCTATTGAACTCGGGATCTGCGGACTTGCGCCACAGAACGGGATGACTCTTGGCGAAGTTGATGATGCGCATATCAATGGGTCGCACCTCCAGCGGACGCACATTCAATCGTGTCGTGGGCTTCGCACATTCTTTCTGCTCCTTATTGATGGTATTCTCGATGGCATCCAGTTGCTTACGCTCATAGCCATCGCCATCGCCTTCGCCACAATCGACTGGCTTCCACTCGCTGGGCGGCACATCTCTGTTGGCCAAATAGTTGGTGGCCTTATCGAAATAGCCCTTGAAGCGTTTGCCTTGCTTGAGCAAACGTTCGATGCGCACATAACGTTTGCGCACGTTCTTCCAGCGCAACTTGATGTCATCGCCCCGTGGAAAGTGGCTGGCTATGACGCGCCACTGCTTGCGTGTCACCACCATCTTGCCATAGTCCGGATGGCGGGTGCACCAAATGGATGGATATTCTCTGAGCAGCCTCGTTAGCTTGCGATCATACGCATGCTCCTGCTCATTGCGATTCATGCTCTCCTCGGTGCCGAGGGCATCGTACTCATCATTCAAGTCATCAACATCGTCCCCGTCATCCGCATCATCGTCCTGATAGTCATCGTCATAGTCATAGCTATCATCGTTCTCATTCTCCGCCGTCTCAYCAGTTGGCTCCCGTTTCGCATCCTCATCCTCATCCTTCGGATCACCCTCGGCGCGCACGCCTAGCGGCATTAGCGGCGGCAGTGGATCCACATTCTCGCCGTCCTTCAGATTTGCATGCAGACTCTTGCGATACTCGTAGACCTGATTGTGAAAGCTATCGCTGCCCGTGTTGAATAGATCCACATCATCCAGCTGGCCATAGCAAACGTATTCCACAGCTAAAATGAAGCCAAAGAGGTGAGAGAGAACATGGTTAAAGCTAAAGCGAAAAACTGCTGCTGAATTCGATTCCATTGCCTTTTTGTTGGATATTTTACAAACACATGGACAAAGAGCTTAAAATCAATTTGAATTTCAATTCGAAATGGAGCCAAGGAAATGGAACTCGCAGAGTTTTTCATACAACACAACAAAATATACTTACATGGTGGCTGAACCAAAGTATAACTCAGACATAATATATGAATATAAATAGCATGATATAGATCATATTATCTATATATACTGTCGAGCAACACCCGTCCATGTGTTCAAATATTCACAAAAGACAATGTACACTTATTTATAAGAAGCAGAAAGAAGAAGAAACTTCCACTTCGCATAAGCAAACCGCAGCCTGCGAAGCAGCAGCTGGAACTATAGATAAACTATAGACTAAACTAAATCTTAGACTAAACTAAACTAAATCTTATGCCAAATACCGGAGAAGATTAACAACCATTCTATTCTAGTTTTATAGAGTCTAAATTACACATCTTTCTAGAACTTAGGCTAACAAAATATTGAATAACAATTTTTATATGTATATAACCTTAACTATTATGTATATTATATTAAATATATTTTAGGATCTTACCAGCTGCCAGTTGTCCATTCTCCAGGCTGTTGGCATCATTCTTGAAGCCCATTTCTCGCATATCGAGCAAGCATTTGTCCTGCAGCTGTTTAAATCGTCCTATTGCATAGGTCATCAGATAGGATAGATGTATGTACAGTTCCTTGACATCCGAATAGCTGCGCGCTTCGTTGTACGCATTGGACATGGTCAATGTTTGCACCTTGCCCGTGAGATGTGTACAGATTTCCATGGCGTTAAATATTTGATTTTGCAGCTGAGTGCGCGCTGCGCCCAGTGGCGATGTGGAGAAGACGTGGCGCACCAATGTTGGTGCTTTAGGCACCGATGCGGGCGTCATCATGATGGTAGTGCCACCGCCCGCTCCACCATTGCTGCTGTTCCCACTGCCGGCAGTTGCTTGGGGTTGGGGGGCGACGTTGATTGCATGCACTTGGCTGCCGTTGTTGACGCGCACCACTTGTGGTGCACGCTGCTGTTGATTGGTCTGTGGATTGTAGATGCCCATGTTCGAGCCAAAGTTAGGATGCAGCATCCGTGGAGGTTGGACCGTTGGCGGCTGTTGCCTGATGATGACCTGTGGAGTCAATGGAACGGGCGCACGTGTTACCGTTGTCGTGGCTGGTGGTGATTGGCCTGCTGGAAATTGCCGCTTCACCTGAAAGAATTCATGGAATTAATATGAAATTGGATTAAAGGATTTACAGTGTTTAGACTAACCTGTATAAGCCGCCCGTTAGGTAGACGATATGAGTCCTGTTGTGCGGCACTATTGAGATCGACCCGAAAACCATTAATGGTATGAAAAACCGGTCCCGCCGAGCGTATGGCATTTGGCACCACTGTGCGTCGCACTACAGAGGCTTGACTGGGCGTGGATTGGCGATAACGTATCCCCGAACTGCTCAGCACGAGCGGAGGTGGTAGACTGCTGCGAGGACTCGCGGTCGAGCTTCCATTCGTACTCGGCCGCGGTCCGGTGTAATTCTGTTGCACGGTGACGATGCGTGGCGTCGTCGTGATGGCGGAAGCAGGTGTTATATTCGAACGAGGAGCCGGCTTCTGTGCCACTGAAATTTGGCAATCTGGTTCCAGCATGCTGAGCAAATCGGGCGTACAGACGATATCGTCATTGGAGGACTTTGGACGCTTAGCAGGCGGGCCCTGTGGCTTGGCAGACTTCTTGCCCGAATTCACAGAGCTGCTATGACTACGTTTGGAAGTATTTGACTCCAAGCTCTCCATGGAATCCGACAAGCTATTCACCTTCGCCTTAGCTAGGCGACAACAAGTGCTGTAGTCTTTGTGAGTTTGCTTGCGCATTTCCGATTCGGATAGCTGCAGGGACTGAAGGCCACTGAAATAGAGAGAGGGAGGAATCATTAGCTATATCCACAGAGACATCTCAGAGCTCAGGCACTTACTTCTTTTGCGTCTGTATGTAGTTGACCAGTGCCCAGTGTTGAGCGCGTAGCGGCCAAAGTATTTTGGAAGTGCACTTGAAGCAATTCCAGTTCTCGTTCTGTTCAATGTCCACAATGACGCCTCGGGACAGGTTCTTGATGATGCACGACTTGCAGAACACATACGGGCAGGTGGAGCAGCAATATACCTCGCCGCCCTGGCCGCACCAACGGCAATATAGCTCCGAGCCATCTTCGCCCTTTGAAAACTCTCCGCTATTGTAGAAATCATGACATTTGATGCAGTGCGTCACACGCAGTATGGGATGCATTTTAATGTTATTTTCTGTGCTGACTGCTGTGCCAAGGTGCATACGGCAAACGGTGCAATGAACTTTACGTTGATTGACCACGTCCACTGTGGGATACATTTTCAAATAGAAGCGCCGTTCCTCCTCCGAAATGCTGGGATCCATTTCATAATTGGAGCCTAGACAACAAAGAATGCTTTAGACAAAGGTACAAAGGACCGCGAGCGAGGCCGGAATGGTGATGTGGGGGAGAATGGCGGAGGAAAGGGAATGGACACTTACCCGTGAAATCAAAATCAAAGGCTTTGAGTGATGGAGAAGGCGTCGCTGGCGACGCGACCGTCAGCGCAGGATCCATGCCGGGTGTGCTGCTCATGATGGTTGCTTTGCCGGCTGCTAAATTGAATCACTACCCACACGTGGATTTGCAACCAACAAATATCTTATACCTGCACTCTCTCACACTAACACACCCAAACGCATATACACACACACACACACACACACACACACACACACACACACTCTCTGCTAAAGTTATTGCTGGAGCAACAACAATCCGGCGCGTATTTCTTTTGCAATATATTTAACACTAACATTAACGCATGCCCACATATGCGCGCCCTCACACACACACTCACCGACACAACGACGGCAAACGCGTTATAATGATCTCAGTATTGCTAAATTTGATTCAATTTTATATATTTTATATATTCCATTCGCTTGGCTGTCAGTGTAGAAATGATTTTTCACACGACTGTCGCCGTAGTATATCGTTTTCAATATGGCAGCCACTTCGGGTGTTCGGGTACTGCCGACTTCAATCACGACGAAGTATACATAACAAGTTTTACCCAGACTCTGGAGCCGATATTTTTTGATATAACATATTCATCCTATATTTCATATAGCCGACAAGTTTCCTAGAACCGTTTACATATTTTTCTCACTTAATCCAAGCTCAAATTCTCCAATTAATTATAATCTCAATCAGCGATCACATATAGTAAGAGTCTAATTTTTCAGTCTAATAGTTCCACATATCAAAAGTAGGTCAAAGCTGAATTTTAATAGCCTAAACATTATCATTTTTATTAATTATTCTATCTGTTTGTTGCGATTTTAAAGAATTTGATTAAATTTGATATACTTGGCAATCCTTTTTGCAGCTAGTGGTCTCTTTCGCACTCATGCAATGTACGTTAAGACACGAACATAAATGAAAAGTAGAACAACAATAAAAAATATTACTTTATGAATAATTTAAATGATGTATGAGGTAGACGAAGACAAATAATAATAAGTAATCAACAACGAATATTAATTTGAAAATATTTTTAAAATTGATATTAAATCAATCGCCTAAAAAGAGCGTTGTTCAACACTAACAAGCAAATGCAATGCTGAGTGTTTTATTTCGATATTTGGTTATCTTTGTGCGCAGCTGAGACGAAGCCGCTCGTATATTCTTACAGATAACAGTGTAAATATAACTTGATTTATGAAGATAAAAGCGTTGTCAGTTACTGAAGCCGGTAGTTGCATTACATGTGGAAATTGAACTATTAGGCAATGCATCTTGATTGTGATGTTTAACAATGCAAATTATGCTGACATACATAAATACATATTCTTGCAATTCATTGTTGACAGTTTCCACTGAATGCGTTTTCAAGAAGTATTTATATTAAAGTTTAATAGTTTATAGTATAATTATACATATATATCAGTTACTTTACGTTATGTTCAAAAGGACACTTTTATTCTATTATTTACTTGTTTTTAGCATAATACGTCGTAGCTTTTTTGTTTTGATATGTCAACAAATCGAAATATTGCCATAATTTGATCGATTATTTTTAGTAATCGATAGCATATATTAGTAGCAATGCGATAAATGCAATTGTAATAAAATATTTTGAATTGCGGTGTATTTTCTGTCTAAATTTACTTATTTATTTGACCGATTTAAAAAAGATTAGATTAGATTAGTGTGTTACTGTGAAATATGTTTCAAATTGGTATTTCGTCATCAATCCTTTAACAATATCTACAGTCACTCACAACCACTGAGAAATAATGGAGCCCGCAACAGCCAAGCCGGGATCTGAGAAACTGAATTCGGACTTCTTTTACGGCTGGGATCTATTATTCAAAACTGTAGAGGGGATAATTGATAAGAAGTCTGATATTCTAATAGTGCTCGCTCATTTCCTGCTCACTAAGCATTACAAATTCCGTTGCGTTGGTATTGGAGACGACGTGAGTATCTCGTCAATTCGTGTGAATTCAATTGATTAAAAATATATGAATGTAAATATTATATTTCCAGAAAACTCTACCCGAAGACGAGGTCGGCAGTGAATTACTGCCTGATCATTGGAATGGCGATAATACAAAGTACTCGCTACGATATGTGCATAATAAAGTGCTTTATCTATTGCTCGGACATATTACAGAAGATGCGCTGATTATCAATTTATTGGATATTAATACTAAGAATGTGTCAAATATATGCGTGACGCCGGAAACATTGGTTGTCGCGGTCAAGGGTGGCATAACAACAACCATGCCAACGGCAACAGATATTGTTGATCGCTTTCGCAAGGAGCTCTGTGATCCGGTGCGATCAAAGGGTATATATGCTTTGCTGATTATATACTAATAATCGTATCTCTTAGGTATTCACTGGAAACTCACGCGAGGCAACCACACAAACACAGGTCAACAACGAAAGAACTCCAGCATCCACATCAGATCCTTTGCGCATCGGCGAGCCTAGACGCCCGGGGTAAGTCATTGAATCCATATTTTCTGCTAGCTTACATCTAATTACTGCAATTTTAGATCATTTATGCCGCATGGCTTTGAGCCCCGGCCATTCGGTTTCCCGGATGTTGGTCGTGGAGATTTGGATCCATTAGGTCGGGGACCTGGTAATTTATTATCATTTCCAGGTCATTCGGGCCTGGCACGATTTGATCCGTTCAATCCGTTGAATCCACGTAACCCTAGCGGAATGGCTCCGAATCCAGATCATCTGCCTCCGCCACATTGGAATCCCGATTACTACATGTGAAATATCTATATATATATGAATTTATATATAACCAACCCATTGAAATGTTCGATCTATCAAATCAATAGTTAAAGTGAATAAGAAATTTGATCGGCGGAAAAAGAACAGAAGAAAAAAATATTCTTTATTATTCTTGCTTTTTTTTATGTTCATATACAATGTATAAAATCAGCCTAAACATTTGTTCAAAAAATGTATATGATTTCAAACATGATATATTATTATTTTCGCATATATGTCTATATATCTGTATTATGTGACATAATTAAACATAAACTAGCTTTGTGAATTTTGGCTGCAAACAAAGTGGGGAAAAACGCATTAAATTCACAAACAGAAAATAATTAAAAACTATACAAATTAAATGGCGCATATAGTCAAATTTAAAGATATATAGGTATATATTAAGATTTTGATGTATATTGTTATCTATTAATATATATTTGTATATATAGACTGCGTTTTCGTAATCTCAATATGCGAACAAAATCTATAGAAATGCGCAGCTATTTAATATATCATATTTCATATTGTTTATATATATGTGTATGCATATATATTTTTGTTTCATTATATATATTATATTTTTTTACATTATATTTTGTGTGTGTGGTATACATTTAAATCTAGCCTAACATTATTTATTTTCTTTTCTTTATTTATTATATTTTTTTTTAACATAATATTTAGCTAAATTAATTAATTACTGAAGATTTTTATTGACTTAAATTTAAAATTTTGTTTTGTTTTTTTGCTGGCAAAATAATTGTTTTTGTTTTTCAGTTAAAATATTTCATTCATCTTTTGTGCGTGAATTGTGTGAAGCAGTTGGTACATGTATTTATTATATATGTATATGTTTAGGTATAGATAGGTGTATATGCATATATTTATAGGGTTCATCCTCTCCGCTCTCAGTCCCATTCCCCAATGAACATGCGTGGTGTGGGCACATAGCCGCGTGTGGGCAGCGGTAAATGGCGTCCATAGATGTGATTGTAAGGTGATTCGACAAGTTCGGAATCTACAAGAAGCAATAAAGTGACATTAGCAAAATTCTATCTCTTTATATATATAKAGTGCATATATAGGAGAAGCATATGTATGTGTGTATGGATAATTGTGTGCGATATGATTGTAATATGTACAAGGTAAACTGTTTGCCGTCCAGGGTCCAAGTCTTAAAGTAAAGTTAGTACTTTTTTTCTTTTTCAGAAAAAAACAAACAAATTCAGTACAGGTGTTTAGCTATAGCCGGGTAAGGTATAAAGGCATTGATATATATATACAGCGCGTATCTAGATTTAAAGAAACCCAAACTAAATGCTGCAAAATAACCTCTCTCTCTCTCTCTTGCTCGCTCGCTCTCTTTCTCAGCGTGTCTCAATAGTCAAGTATTTGAATTTTCTTGAGACTGAGGCTGCGCGGCTTGCGCGGCTTTAGGTAGCCATAAATGGACTCCATGTCGCTGATGTCAAGGCGGCTGGCAGTGCGACCCATTCTTTGTGCATTGTTTGTAATTGTTGCAGCAGTTGTTGCTGTTGCTGCTGCTGCTGCTGGTGTTGTTGCTGTTGCTGACGCTGTTGTTGCTGCTGTTGCGGCAGCAGTTGTTGCTGTTGCTGCTGCTGCAGTTGCAGTTGTTGCTGTTGCTAAAGTCTTTGCTGTTATACTTTTGTTTTTACTATTGAAATTATTGTTGTTGTCATCTTTGTTGCTGCTGCTGTTGTTGTTCGTTAGCTGTCGCATGCTGTTGTTGTTGTTGCTGTTATTATTATTGCTATTCGTATTGTCATATAGTTTTTTGTCAGCTTTTTGTTGCTGCTGCTGCTGTTGCTGCCGCTGTTTGCCCCGCCAACTGGGCGCTGGCAACAGGGGCTTATTGTAATATTGCGTTCGCTTATAGCTCAGCTCGGTTGGCACACGCTCATAGAGATTCGACATGGCTGGCGGCTTGGCCACTATGCGGTGACGTCCGCCGTACATGTACAGTGAGCCCTCCTCGTTGGGCTGCTCAAAGAAACTTTCGGTCGATTGGGATTTCTGTCGTGCCGCCAGCAGCGCCGGCGCCGCCAACTGTCGCAGCTGCGCACGATCCACATATGGATCCATCTCCTCGGTACTGTGATGATGCTGCTGCTGCGGCTGATGCTGGTGCTGGTGCTGCTGTTGCTGGCGTCGCCGTTGCAGCGGCATCGGTTCGTCAATGTCAAAGTCCAGGTCGAAGTCATCGTAGCTGTCATCGTTGGTCATTGAGTTCGGCTCGTCGTCCTGCTCCTGCACCTGTTCCAGCACTGAAATGTCGCTCTCGCTGCACCACTTGGCCACGCCCACTCGCTTATCGAGCAGCCCGCCACTGAGCCGCTGATGCCGCCGCAGCTGCTGCTGGCTGAGACTGCGCTGCGGCCGCGGCGCCGGCACCTGGCCGCACAGTGGTGCCAGAGCATAGCAGCTAACACAATTGCAGCTCGTCTCCACTGGCAGCTGCGTGCGTCGCATGGAGGGACGACGTGCGCCCTGCCGCACAGCCACAGCCTCCAGATCATCGTAGTACTGACTAGGATAGTAGCTGGCCTTGCGCTGTGGCTGCAACTGTTGCTGCTGCTGCTGCGGCTGTGGCTGTGGCTGGTGGTGCGAGCGATGGCAGTGGCGATGCTGATGACGATGATGCTGATGAGGATGCGAATGCGAGTGTGAATGCAGATGCGAGTGTGGATATGGCTGCTGTTGCTGCTGACTGCTACGTGTTGGTGCTTTATGGTGCTGGTGGTGCTGTTGGTGCTGGTGCTGGTGCTGGTGGTGCTGTTGGTGTTTAACAGTCGGCGCCAAGGCGCTGATTTGTGTCTTGTTTGTTGCAGTTGCAGTTGTTGTGGCAGTTGTTGCCGTTAGGTCCGTTGGCAGTGATTGTGGTTGTGCATGCGTATTGTGTGGCTGCTGTGGATAGCCGCCCAGTTTATTATAAATACCTATGCCACTCTCATAGCTGCGCGTCTGCCAAATCTGATGCGGATGGTGATGGCTAGCCGGCTGCTGGTGGTGCACGGCATGCGCTGCCGCCGCTGCCGCCGCTGCCATCAACTGTTGCTGCTGTTGCTGCTGCTGCAAGTGYAGCGCGTGCGGATGCATGCCAGCCAAATGATTGTTGTGTATCATCGATGTCTTCTTCTGGCTGAGCGTGCTCATGCCGTTGCCGTTGCCGTTGCCATTGCTGTTGCTGCTGTTGTTGTTGYTGCTGCTGTTGTTGATGATGTTGTTGCCATTGCCGTCACGCTGATCCTTCGAGCCGGACTTGGAAGACTTCACAAAGTTGGGCACGCGTGCACGCAAGCCACAGTAATAGGGATCATCTAAGTGAAGCAGAGCATGATGATGTTAACTGCCATTCATATAGACTAGGAATGTGCTGGAGCAACGACTTACCATATTTCTTGTTGTCCTTGCCCTTGTCAGATTTGCCGCGAGACAATTTGATGCGGGACTCCAAGTCAATGTCATCGTAGTCCGGCTGTGGAGAGGATTTCAAAAGATTCAGGAATTATATATATATATAAAAAAAAATTTTTTAAAATGTCCTCTAATTATTGACAACGGATTTGGATAAAATTTGAATAGAATTGAATATATAATGCTTAGCTAAGTAAATGAGTTGAATATCTAAAACAATTGAATAAAACTAAAAGACTTAAGCAACGAACCTGAATAAATTTTGCATGCTTAATATACTTAAGCAAATAATTAGCAGAGAATATGAATGGGTATTAAGACTTAAGGAAGAAGTTCTAAGGATATAATTAAAGACGTTTGAAACTAACGCGTATAAATAGATATTTATCATATATAGAGATATGAATAAAAATGGTATTAGATACCAACAATCAAGACTTTGTATTCACTGACTGAAGAAGTGTTACAAATTTATATAGGTATATACATATAGGTACCTATAAATATGTATATTGTGGCATCATTCAAAGCTCAGCTTTGATATGTTCATTGTTTCAAATAATAATAATAATTATARTTGTTATAAAAGAACAGTTGTTGGATTTTTACGAACTTGTTAAGAGCTTWTAGATGAGGCATAACAAATATTTATATTTTATCAGAGATTCATTGGCTATTATATATATTTTACTACATATACATATCGAAATATCAGCATATCTTAATTGTAGTTATTACCAAATAGCAATTGTTATTTATGCATTCTGTTAAATTGTTTAAATTTTGGAACAAGCACACTGAAAGAAACAACAACAACAAMACAAATGACTTAGGCAACGAACGCGCTGGGCTTTTGCGCAAGGTGCGCCAGCCAAAGGCACTGCAGATAGTTACATATAATCCCCCAAGTCTCTATCTCCCTCTCTCTCTCTCTCTCTCCCTCTTTCTGTACTGTTAGCCATAACTGTGTGTGCAGACATTTATAGCCAACGGTCGTTGGGCCCATTGGCAACATTCCGTGCATATTAATTACACGCGATTCGTTTGCAGTTATGTTTCAGTTGTTGCTTGATGAAATTCGAATATTATTGAATGCAAGCCAAATGCTTGGTGAAGCTCAACGAGCTCCAAAACTGGCCTGGTATTTCTATATTTTTCTTTTTTTCAGTTATTTGTTGTTGTTTTTCTTTTTGAGGGCTTCAAGAAAAACCCAGAGACCCGAGCCGTAAACCATTTTGCAAGTGCGCACGTAGCCAAGCATAGCCAGGCCAACAACATTCGCCGCTGTTGTTGTTGTTGTTGTTGCTGAACTAGTTGCCACACGTCTTGCTCACATATTATATAGCTATATAAACATATATACATACATATATATATTTATGCCTATATATTAACTTATTGTTTCTTACGCGCCTGCAACAATTGTTCCAACACCTTGCCTACAAAACACTTGAGCAACAGTTTTCGACTGCTGTTGTTGTTGTTGCTGCTGCTAATTGTTGTCTCTCACCTTTGGAATTAGATCATGCGCATAGACATTATCTCTGGGCGGCAATTTGGGCGGCTTCTCGCTGCGCTTGTGCGCCAATTGCTGCGTCTGCAGCAACAGTTGCTCACGTGTGGCAGCCACATGTCCATTGCTGCTGCCATTATTCAAATGCTTGCCCAGTTGCTGCTGTTGCAGCTGCTGCTGCTGCAGCTGTTGCTGGTGGGCGCTGCCAAAGCCAGAGCTGCCCGAGCTGCCGTTGCTGCCGTTGCCGGCCACGCTGTAGGGATCCTCGTCGGGTATGGGTATGCGCGGCCGATTCTTTATATCCACAATGGGACGTTGCACTGCGAATGGAGTAGAAGTGGAACATGAAGAAGATGCTGTACTCCCTGTTGCATATGTCAGCGCTGCCATTCACAATTGTTGCTGCCAATAAATCAATGGCTGGCAGGCAAATGGACTCACAATACGCACAATACACACGCACTCTCACTCACACACATATGAGACAATAGAAGCTGCTGCAGCCAACTCTTAACTATCTGCTAATGCGCAGCCTTGAAGTGCTTGTGCTATATATAGAGCTAGAGATGATGGCGGAAAACTGAACTAAAAAGCAGGGAAGTACTTGGAATGGAATTATATAAATATCTTGGACTACCAGAGTTGACATTACTAGAGAACTTTACGTTTGTAAGACTTTCCAGAGATCTGTAAAATATTATATGGAACATATATGTAATGAAATATTAGATGGAAAGATTTTCCATTTGTTTAGAAGCTAGAGTTCCATGAATATATATAATATAAGGTATTTTTTATCATATCATATCATATATATAATCTGTACATACTTATATGATATATAAAAGTCAATAACCATTAGCTTTAGTTCTTTGCTAACCCTGAGCTGAACAATAGTTCGTTCACTGAGCCACATGCATACATACATATATTTATATCAAATATACACACACATACACACATATATATTGGTGCACACTTGCAAGTCAACTCACCTGGCGGCAATTTGCTCTTTAGCATATCCATGGCTACCACATTCACAATGAGCACCCAAATGGGGCACTCCAAAATGTCATTCTCCGATTTGACAAAGGCCAATGCCGATAGGCATTGCGTTTCCAAGCGTCGACGATCTGGATAGGCACGGCGCAATTCACGATTCACGTTCGACTGGAACTTCTTCATATCGAACAGCTGTCAGGCGACAAAAAAACAGCAACAACAACAACAAGAAAATAGAAACAGAAATTAGTTAACAATACAACAATTTTCATATGCTACTACTCCTCTCGCTCTCTCTCTCTCTCTCTCTGTCTATATATATTCGATTTGCTATATAGACTTGCCTTGACTATTTTTTCGCTTTCGAGCGCCTGATTTGGCAGCTTTAAGATTTCGGCCCCAATGGATGTCTCCTCGTTGGGAGTGCTGGCGGTGCTCTTAACAAATACGTTGCTCTTCGCATAGCGACGCACGAGTATATTGCCAGCATCATCCATTTTGATCTTGACGCCCTACAGGTGTTGAAAATAAATATAAAAAATAAATTAATTTTGCTGTACTTTAAATTGTTTTGCATATTGTTAATGGCAGTTTCTTGTAATCGTTATCAGAGTCTGGAAACTGTGTCGCTCACTTTAATGAGCCATAAACAACCAGAGAGATACAAACAAATGCTTACCTGGCCGATGACGCGCTTCATCTCCTCCGTCTTCTGGTCCCGCATCGGATTGTCAAAGCCGCACAGTCCAATGCTGAAATACAGTTAAATATATTTATATATAAGTATATGAGTGTGAGTATAGATATGGATATAGTGTCAATTAATTATTTGATCAATTGCAAATCAATCAAACGCAAAATAAATTAAAGCTCAAGTTGTGGCTCTATAAAGCTTTTGGGCGCCCGTTCACTTTTTCTTTTTTTTTTTTTTTTTTGGGCCAGCATGAGTCATTTTTGGCCTGCTGCAGCATTTTGTTGCATTAAACGTTTGACAAAACAGGGGCAACAAGCGGCAGCACCACTAGCACTAACAACAACAACAACAACCACAGCACCACCCCAGTTGACAACAGCAAAATAACTGTGCATTCGCCTGCCACAAATTCGCATTGACAGTGATTTATGTGCTTGTTGCAATATGTAAGTGTATATGCATGTGTGTGAGTGTGTGGCAGCTGCATATGAATTTATAACAAAAACATATCATATTTTTCTTCTAGCTTTTAATTGCCGGCTGACTCATATGGACTTCTATTTTTTGGGGCTAGTTTGTTGCTTAAGTCTTTTGTTATGGCCTTGCAGTCAGTTTCTACTGTAACTGCATTAAGAATATAGTTATATATATTAAAAATATATGATTTGTTTATCATTTTTATAAAACTTTAACCAAGTTTGTTGCCTAAGTCTTTTGTTTTGTCTTCGATAGTATTGATACGGTCTGGGTCATATACACTACTGTCTAAAAACTTTAACTAAGAACAATATTCCATGTACTTAAATTATGTTAAATCACTAGCCAAGTTTGTTGCCTAAGTCTTTTGTTTTAGTTAGGCTTACTAAAAAATACTGTCAAACCATATGCCATTTAATATGCAGGAAGAGTTAGACTGTAACTAAAATTAAAATTTATTATTTAAAAAATATCAATTTCATACAATTTGGCCCAAGTTCGTTGCCTAAGTCTTTTGTTTTGCGCTTGCTCAGTTGCATATGAATTTATATAGAATAAATATTTCATACGAACATATTTTTTCAGCTCATCTAAATGCACATGTACTGTAAGTTTGTTGCCCGAGTCTTTTGTTTTGGCCTTGCTGGAAAATAAACTACTGTCAAGCTAGTATTTTCTGACTGTGCTGCAGGAAGAGCTCTTGGCTGTTGCTTAAGGTCGTCTCAAATGTCGGCCAAAAATGCTAACTAGATGCTGCAGAGGAAGCCGCGCCGTACAATGAAAACGAAGCTAATTGTAATTGTTGTCGTTTGCGGCTGGCTGCAACTGTTGCTGCTGCTGCCGTTGCTGCTTCTGCTGCTGCTGCTGTTCATTGTTGTTGTTATCTGCACTGCTCCTGTCGCTGCTCACTTGCTGTCACTATTATGTTTTATGTTAATTTGTATAATGAAGCGCTGCCTAGAAGAAGAACAGGCAGCAGCAACTATTGCTGCTAGCAGCAGCAATTGCTGTTGGCATTTGGCCATGTGCCTTAGTTCTGCGCATAACATCTGCCAACGGTGCGGCGGCTGTTTGGCGTTGATTTATTGGCTAAACGCTTGTAAAAACCGTTGAAATGTGTGTCAAAGTTTTCCATGAAATGAAATCGACATGGACTGTTGCTGCCGCTGCCGCTGTTAGCTGCTGTTGCTGTTAGCTGTTAGCTGCTGTTGCTGCTAGCTGATGTGTGCCTTTCAAGGTTGCCCCTAAACGAAGCGGATTTTGCAGTTCTTTTGTGTGCTTGAGCTTCTTTGATACGTTTTAATACTTAAATGCTTTGTTTAATTTTAGACTTATTAAAAGTGCCAGCCAGAGCAAAAGATGAACCGGTATACGTACGGTACATAACCGGTACACATAAGTGAAACAGAACCGAAGCCCAGCCCCGAGCCAGGCAAACCCACTGCCAATCATTCAGCAGCAACATGCATTCATTTGCCAATTCATGGTTGCATTCACTTCGATGTGGCCACAGCCAGTTATATATAAATATATATATAGATTGCATATACTATATACTATGTAGGCATGCATACATATCGGTTGCAAGGTCGTCCGGTATAAAAAACAAAACTGGACCTGACACGCCTAAATGAGCTAAAAATGCGAAAGGCACAAAGGCAACAACTGTTTGTCTTGCATTTTTGCGGCTGCCAACGAAAGCGAGAGTCCAAGTTATAGCGGGCTTTGTTTTTATTTTTTTTTTTTCGTTTTTGTTTCTCTGTAGCGAAGCACCTCACAATTTTGGAGTTCAAGTTAAACGTGTGCAGTGGGTCAAACCTTGCATGCGGGGAGCTCCAGCTGCGGCCGCTCTTTCCAGTTGCCGTTGCAGTGGCTTCTTCAAGGAAGCGACAGCCAGCTATGCCGGTTAACGGCAACTGGTTCCAAAACTGACCTACGGCTAGTTGGTCATGCAAACAGGCACCAAAAATATAATAAAACCGAGAAGAGACTCTTAAAATGCGAGACAATCGCAACCGGTCGAGCTAAAAATACGACCAGCCTTACTGTAGCAGAGCGGCGAGCCGCTAGTGCAGTTGCTTTTTAGTGCAATATTTAAATGCATATAAACAAAAGACTTAGGCAACGAACGCGCGGTAGCTAAATACATTGTAATTGCCATGAAGTGGTATAGTTAGTCAAGTAGCTGAGTTGAGATACTCTGTAACGACGTTGGCGTCGCCGTAACCATATATATATATATATATATACTCGATCAAAATGACTAGCTATTTTCTATTTTCGGTCTGTAGGTTTAGTCTATCTATAATGCTAAGATCTGCTCTACGTATGTCTCTCTGTTGACCTCTTCGTCTTGCTCTATTGTTATTATTCTTTTCGATCTGCTTAGACAGGCAGGATGTACGCTTCTTCATCTGCCCATCTATCGCTCTGCTTGTTCTTATGACCATTTATCTGCTAATCAGTCTGTCCGTCTATCTATCTCTATCTGTCTATCTGACCGTCTAGCTGCCTGTTCTCTGCATTTTGACTAAGCGTAAGCTTATACATCTGTCCATCTCTGCACGGCTGCATGAGCATGTTGCTTCCGTATACATGATCTATATATAATAATAATAATAATATTTCCCTAAACATTAAATGTATATCCGATATATGGCTTACATCTTTATAAAAAATATATATATTCCTTGTTCTAAATTTTCTAAATATTTAAATTAATTTTCATAAAATCAATCTTTATAAAATAAAGTACATGTGTGTGCATGTATATGTGTGTAGAAATCAAACATGCCTGAAACCCTTGTCGTACAGTTAAAGTATTTTCAAGTCAAGCCATTCCGCTCTACAACTCGCTAATTTTTGTATATATACATATAAATGTCAGTAAACAAAAGACTTAGGCAACGAACGCGAGCTACAATTTGAACCAATTAATTGAATTATTTGCTGACAACAGTGCGACGCACCTTAAAAGCTTTGAAGGCCACAGCTAACCAGGTTCTTAACTCAATGTAAGAGAGACAGAATTATAGAAAACAAAAACAAGATAAATAATATGGCACGTGTGCTCGAATCGAAACTAGGGCTCAGTTCTATCCGGTTGCTATTGTTAGGCAAAACTGTCTTTTTTACTGGCTGCAAGTTAAGTCGTGGCCTTGGCCAGGCGCCAGTCGCGCCTTTTTTTCTGCCTTACTTTTAATTCGCACGAAACGAAATGAAATCAGAAACTCTGCTGCAGTCAAATGCTCCGCTTATAACGCGAGCTGCGCCAGTTTGTATTATGATTTCGTTAGGCGATTTCGATTTCGATTTCGATTTTGATTCCGACTTTATTTTTTTTAGCCAGCAAACATGCAAATTTTATGATTGGCAACGCCCACGCAACGCCATGCCAATTTTGAATTGGCAATTGGCCAACAACGGCAACAGCAACAGCAACAGTTGCTGCTAAACTGTCATAAGCAGCAAAATTTATATTGGCGCCATTTCAATTGTTGCACAAAAAGATAATGGGGCAGACATGTAAGTGGTCTGGCCCTGAGTGTGCTTAAAGGTTTGCCCATTAATTAAATGCGCTTGTTGCCCGGCTGGATGCTGGCTGCTTGCTGCTCACTGCTTGCCTCTTGCATTGCAAATGTGTGGTCCTTCAGCATCTGCTGCGCATCGCCCACACAGCGTCTAATTAATTAATTTACATGTTGCCAGCAGCAGCAGCAGCAGCAGCGGCGACAGCAGCAGCCGAAGCTAGAGATGCTAGCCAGGTGTGAAAATTGCCAATCGCATCGCATGCAACAGAGTCTATTGTTAGCTGTATATAGTGAACGACGTTAAGATACCCTAGCTTATAGTTGGACAGTTTTACAAAACAAAATAAAAATGAAAAGTATTTAAATAACTAAAAGTTTAACTTTCAGAGGGCTTGAAAATAATTTTTAAATTGAATTTTCAAGCAAATTTTTTGTATATATTAAATAAAAGTAATAAATAAAAAATAGTACATTTGTTCTATTTTAAAATTAAAAACAATCTTTAAAAATATTTTGTGTATTTTGTTTTCTTTTTTTTATGAAATAAAAATGAATCATTTCAATTTCGTGAATGTGTATAAAAACTATATTGTTATTATAATGCCTGAAGGCCTTTGTCGCTCTGGCTTAATAAAATTGTTATTTAGAATTCATTCTTGATAGCAATAAATAAATAAAATAAATAAATAAATATATTTTTATTACGTAAAATTTAAAAATAATATTTTTAGTTAAAGCGTTTAAAGAAACCAAATTATTGTTATTATTGAATTGAATATTTCTTGAAGTAAAAAATATAATTTGATATATTATAAATTCATGTAAAAAATATAAACAAATTCACATAAAAAATATTTTTAAAAATTTTAAACTATTTTTTTTTT